ATTTCAGATAAGTTGAAAGTAAGGCAAGTATCTATGAAGTCATTTTCAGTGTTCGGTTTCGACATTGCTAATGCTAGATCAGACCAAGTTATCGCCGGGAAGTTAAAATCACCAAGGAGGATAATAGGGGCGTTATCCGACGCTGACGTTAATAGTTGTAGAGCATCATGACCCACCATGACAACAATCTATTGTTGTCATGGTGGGTCATGTAGAAACACTCCATCATAAAATGGGTATGTGCCACAATGGGTAAGTCCCAATACTTGCTACCAGTCTACTGAAAACGAAAAACTCACAGTTAGCCCAGCCTAGTCATTTGCGTCCCATTTATAAGAAGTTTCGCTCATCGGTTGTACTCGTGCATGCACGGAACAACTGCTGGTTCTTAATTTTTTATATGCCATATGAGCTCATTTATCCGAGTGATTTAAGCTTTTTCTACGCATATATATATATATATATATATATATATATATATATATATATATATATATATATATATATATATAGGCAGGCATGGTGGTTGAGTGGCCGTAGCGTTGCGTATAGTCTAGTAGATCCTCCGTGAGCGGTCATAACGTGGTTTATTTCGACGTTTCGGCCTACAGTCCAGACTCTAGGCCGAAACGTCGAAATAAACCACGTTGTGACCGCTCACGGAGGATCTACTAGACTATATATATATATATATATATATATATATATATATATATATATATATATATATATATATATATATATATATATATATATATATATATATAATATATATATATATATATATATTACAGGAAACAGACACGAAGAATAAAATGAATGAACGCATCGTAAATATGTTTATTTACAGTCACAACATCAGCAGATGACCGACAGGAAGATGAAAAAGGACAACGCACCGTAAACTGACGTTACGGCGTTTTAACATTTGATTTTCTCGATCGTAGAAACAAATAATCACGTGTTAGCGACAAAGATTGGCTGCACTTGTATGAAGCGCAGATCGATTAAATTGACCCAACCGTAACTAAACGTGTCCGCATAACAGCACATAAAAAAGTCATGTCAAACAGCTGATGTGAATTCGACAGCATATGCTACCATCCAGACTTATACCGGTAATTTCGAAATTAGTGACGTACTATGTTTTTTCTTTGTCATGTAATATTTCTATTGGTACAGCATAAATATATCGTTATACAAACTGTATACGTTCTTGAAAGTATAGTTACAGTAGGAACAATATTTTCACGCTGTATGACACTGATGATATATCTACTGTGGCATGCAGAAATGAATGTTGAACTCACACGCACCTCTAGAAAGATTCAGTGAAGAAAAAAAATAGGCACTTTTTTATATTTATGATTTAATGATGCAGAGCACGAAAGTGATTTTTTATCTGACACAAGCACAATGTTTAAACCACAAAGGTATAGCCAAGATTTTCTGTCGTTAACATCACAGCAGATGAAGTATACAGGTACAATCAGAAGCACAGTGAAAGCAATATTTGCGGATGTACAAAAGAGCATGTGGCGACAACTACATTAGAGGTGCCCACATAAATATACCTTGAAGATAACAATATCACACTGGTAGTAATGCCGCTTATTTTTAGTTCTTCCTTCCTTGATGTAATATGGCACAAGAACGCGTTAGTATACAGTACCGTACCTTCTGAACTACTACAGATAAAGTCTATACGATCGTCGAGTGAATAAAAAATGAGCATCCGTAATTTTGTGCGTTTACGAGAAGTTGAGCAACGCAGCAGTGACCGCCATCAACAGATGACACTCAGTACCAAAACACGAAACATTGTTAGTAGCTGCTCACTCGTACCACTGTATGTGGTATACACATTTATATATGGTACTACGAAGCTTAGTTGAAGGAGCAAACTACAAAATAAGAATGCTAAACTGCAAAGTATGTTTTGTGTGGTTTTAATCTGTAGGTGACTAGGGAGCGTTTGTTTAGTGTACTTGTATATTGAGAACATTTTGACAGCGATGCCTGTGCTGTTAGAAATCGGTGCCGACAGTTTCTTTTTCTTCTCCAGTGATATTTACAAACAATGACCATTTTGCGCGTCGACTTCCAGCGATAAGATAGCGTTTCTTTTTTGTTTTGTTTTTCTTTCTAGAACTTTTTTTTTCTAGGCTGTTTTAAGGCCAGCCGTGAACGGCAGCTGCTTTTAGCGATACTAACTTTATTTCGAAACGGAATGAATACCGCGTATTTTGGGTGTCATGCCAGCTATCTTCCGAGGGAATTCAGGCACGACTAAAAGTTTTGCCATATAGTTACAACTAGACTACGTGGAGCCTAAATTCAGGCAAAGCATAGACGAACTTGGTTGCTACGTTTAATTGAAATAGGAGAACAAGGAAATCGGACAGAAAAATGGGCCAGGTATATACATTTCCGCAGAGCAAAAGTGAGCCTATGTTCTCAGATTCACGCATGATTTACGCGTTCAGCTACCGAGTTGTCAGCCCTGCGACTATTAAACTATTTGCGCATGAGTATGAAGTTATCGCTGGAAGTGCAAGACGGAGCTGTGTGAGGCTTAAACGGCACGTACACTGAGTTTGTTAACGAGACTGTGAAATGTTGAACACATGAACTGGTCTAACCAGGACACTCCCGATGGCATGTAATTGTCTATAACACGCAGCATATACGGCAGCAATCAATGAATGACAAAAACACATTTCAAATCCGTGGAAACACTCTGCAAACACACAACACTTTCGAACGATTATGTGTGTGCAAACACGCACGATACGGCCCAGAGCACATAACCTTGAGCAGATTCGTGAGCAATCGCTCTGTTACAGGCACACCAATACTGTTCACGTTGTCATTTTCTAACCAGCCGCGTATAAGCGATCACCACTTTCTGACACAAGGAGCTATAGACCACGCGAACGCAAACCAGGCATGTCAGGAACTTCTCACGACATTGGCGTCTACGATACAAGCACTGAGTATTAGAGCTCGCATACTAAAAAGTCGTCGTGTACAAGACACCGTATACACGCATGGCGTAGAAGTTAGAAGCACCTAAATGGCTAAAGCTCTTGGAAAGCGAGTTTCCACTCGTCAACACAGTCCTCATTGACAAATTTTATTTCCGTAACTGACTTCTGCCTTGATAACTGCAGTGGCAGTCGGCTACGAATCTACGACAGGAAGCAAACTCGAAAAGATTCAAGCTGCTCTTAAACCATGCTTCCTTGGTAGCACATCAGCAGATCTCACACCACCACATCATAGGCGCATGTGGGCAACGAGTTTACCTTCGATGATTCGTTAGTCATGACGATGTGGTTTTATTACGCAAATGAGTCACGCAAAAAAAAGGCACCAACGCTGGACTTTTGTGGTCGTTAACCTCCCCGACAGACACACCGTACTGTTGAGAAATAGGCCATCGTGAAGGGCATTCACACGAAGGACGGGTGTTTGTTATGGTTTCCACGGACGGGTTAAGAACCTTCGTTTGAAGCATCGCTCCATAAATGCGGCTGTCGTAAATTAGATTTTCTCGGGTGGTGGCGCGGAACTATTGACGCGTTTAACGCTGCAAGTTTCAGCGCTGGCAGCCCACAAAATTCCTCGACAACTGACTGACGCACTATCTGAACCTCTTGCCTTCAACTATGGGTGAAATCTGCCAAGAAAATGCGGATGCTTTAAGTGCTTTGACCATTGATGATAGGCAACAAAGATGAGTGCTCGGAACATGTGGAACGCATTTAAAGTGGTCCAGATAGATTGTGCGTTTTATCGCGTCAAATTGTTTATTACTTTCTTCAAGTGGCACAATCAAAAAAGAGCTTTCGCAATTGCACATAATTTGGCCCCATTGTCCCGGACGTTCAAGTTACCGAGTGCAAAACCATGACATACCAGGAGCTACATAATAAAGGGGTACTCTTAAAAACCATGATTCTGTTTCCGCGTTTCAGGTGCCGCGTTTGACCAGGTCAGATTGAACTTGTATGTCTCGAACTGTATGCATGGAAACATTCAAGAAAATGTTCACGCGAAGGCAGCAATAATACATATTCACGCACTTGCGTATGCTTGTTTCACTAAGGTCCTCATTAAGCGCTCTTGATTTGGCGTCCTAGTGAGGATCTGATGAGTTCATATAAACTAAACTTGCACTTGGGCTGGTGCAAAGTGATGACGTCAACGGGTGGCAAATTGTTCCGTTTGGCACGAAAGCCGAGAAGGGGAGGGGGGAGAAGGGCTATTGAACAAGTAAGTACACTGGCATAGTTCAGCACACTTTTAAAACGAATCGTTTTTTTTTCTTTTGCACTGCCCTGAACAAACTGGACCTAGGTCTTGTTTTCACAGCGAAGTATCCGCTGACCACGACCCCACATGTCGTTGGTCTGCAAGGCGATGTAGGCGTTGCTACAAGTTTTAAGATATAACGGCCTCATCTACAATGAACTGGAGATCAAAGGGAGGGGCCTTGGTCCTGTAGTCGACCTAAACAGGCTGCAAAAAAAAAAACGATGATCATGATAACGATGGTGATCATGTGGGTGTGTAATACGCCGATAGCACTTCACTGTCTATTTCTTTCCTTTCACCCCTTAACCTCTTTGCCCTAGAAAAGGGTAACGAGCCGGATGCACGTCTGATTGATTTCCTCGTATCCCTTCCTTTCGATCTTCTTCTCTCCCGTCACTTCTTAATTCAATCCACTTTCGTCCCAAAAGCAGCTGCTAATATCATCAGCCGGTCCTTCATACCACAGCAAAGTCACAATTTCATGTTCAAGTTGCTTCGACCATTAATGTTAACGAAATGTCATAGACAGCAGGAAGACCCTCACATAAAAAAATGAACGATGAGATCAGATTCCAAAAGTTCTAGCACCAGCTAAGGAACGAAGTCGATGAGCGGTATTGTCGGCAGTACACATTCGATGAACGACCCGATATAATGCACGGCTCACCGGAACTCGGCGCTCATATGCTTTGCGCTGCCTGTTTGATCACGTGACCATTTATGGAAGAACGGCACATGGTGACGGAGGTGTGCCGCACCTCCACCATGTTGTGACAGCTGCGGCCGTCGTGGTTGTCCAGTATGGAACGGCCCTCGTGGCCGTCAGACGAACACATCGAGCAGCAGTCCCGGGTGAACTCCACCCTCTGGATGGGTGTGGTGGGCACCCACGAATTGACCGTTTGCTTCGAGGGCTTCCTGGTACAGCTTGCATTGGCCGTGGCGCGTGTTCAGCGTCCAGAAGCACGAGCCTCGGCAGCAGGCCTTGCGGAAGCTGGACGTGAAGCTGCCGTACACGAGCGGGTTCACGCACGAGTTGGAGACGGCGAACATGAAGAGCGAGGACTGCACGTAGCCGTCCACTTTGCTGGCGCTCTCCGGGTCGATCTGGTACCAGAGCACCATGATCACGTACGGCGTCCAGCACAGAAAGAATGCGAGCACAATGATGATGGTCAAGCGTCAGAGTGCGGATTTCGGGCACGGGTGATGTGCCGGACATCGGAGCGCCGAAGCCGAAGCCGGCCCGGTTGTTGCTCTGGTTTCATGAGTTGGTCGACTGCGTTAAAAAAAACAGAAAAGAAATAATTTTCAATTGCTTTTGCCTAAACGTTTGCGAAACTTTTGGGCCCGTGGCCAACAAGATGTGCACAGTAAAATAATTGAGAATGTTTCTTGAGACAATGGCATTCTGGGCCGATATTAAGACACTTAGGTTTTTTTTCCCTTTTCCCTTTTTTACCGTGACATTTTTATGCGACTCTTGACTATTATGTTTAAAACTATGTGACCGGTGACTGCATGCATCGGTTGCCCTTCGATTTGTGAACATCTCACCGTATATGCAGATACTATGTGATTGTTGCATACAGGATTTTTGAAATCTCATGTCCTAACTGTTATAATACATTGTATATTGTACGCGTTGTGTACTTCTTACGCTTGGAGACTTGAACCCTATACCTGCTCTATGTGAGATAACTCTAAGGAATAAGGAGTAGCTGGCGCCTTGTATTTGTGCGGAATTCGTGCGGACGTCTCCCTACATGAGGCCAATAAAGAACACATCTACCTCGAGATTTATTACATCTCTATCTTGGTGAAGCAAAGTCGAAGATAACATGTCACTACTTCATAAATGTCTTATCAGTTTGTGGGAACTCTGAAATGTAAGCAATGCAAGCAACCCGTGCACGAGTCAGCAATTCAACAACTTTATTTTTCTGTGCTCCAGATACTGTAAGTTCTCGTCGTCTGCGGCAGCATTGAATTGATAAACAAGTCCTCTAAAATGAACACATGAGAGTGTCAATCTGAGGCGTTCTCTTTCTCGGGCCCTCATGTGACTGCGCGCATTCTCGCTTCATATAAGAACGGACTCGCCAGAGTATTGCATAATAGACGAGAGTGCTCGGACGCGGCGCGCTTGCTCAGCGTCTGCATATAGCGTTCTCCTCACGATAACAAGAGCGCAGTTTTGTGCTGTGGGTTGCTGACTTAGATGTCATGTACATGTTAAATTAAAGAAGGTCTCGAAGCTTATCTTTGGCACCTTTTATAACCGTGTCAATCGAGTAACCTTGGTGACTTCAAAAGCATTAGGTTTAAATATTGAAGTTCGTTGTTTGTTTAGAACCCTGCGTTTATCTTTCATTTTGTCTTTGAGAGCGTATCGATGACAAATAGGCAAACAAACAATGCAGTTGCTAAAAATTAAAAAAATCTAACATACTTTAACTTATACATTTCAGCTTGTACATGCATATATGTAAGGCAACAAAAATGAAGATGATAGCACATTATACATAGCAAAATAAGCAAGAAGAACAATCAAGAATTATAAAAGTGCTTTGTTTACTGGTGTTTTATTCCGACTTGTATTCTTTCCAGTTTTTTTTCTCCTGTTAATGAAGCTGCAGGGACTTACTCTAAGCCTTATTGCACAGCTTCTGTGGACGTCTGAAGGTTATTGGCGAGAACACTAAAAGAGTTTTGTTAAAGGTACACGAGAACGGACGGGGTTTCAATATTATTGTCGGGATAAACCATTGTCAAACATTGATTTAAAGATACTTAGCTAATGCCATGGCTAGTTGTTGCCTAATTTAGCTTGAATATGAACATTCTTTAGACATGTGGGACTGACCACACGACTATTTGCTTGTACTGCAACCTTCAGTGAACAACTTAAGAAAAAAAAAACTGCCTCGCCCTACTATGCGATTCCTTGGACTGCTTGTGAATCTCCCATAGGATGCGGCAGTAGCAGACCACTATGGCGACCAGCGGCACTCCGTACAGCGCGAGCAGGCAGAAGATGTTGTAGGCCTTCTCGTGCCATGGCACCGCGAAGAAGGCGAACGTCACGCACTGGTAGAAGCCGGGCATCGCCGGATGCTCCATCACGCGGAAGATCACCGCCTGCAGGAGACACAAAAGTGTGCACAATTGACTGAGGCATCGTTGCAAGATGTGCCGGAGAGAGTGAGTGAGTGAGTGAAACAACTTTACTTGATTTCCAATAGACGTGAGTAAACTTCACGTCACGTGGCTAGCTACACTCGGGGACAGTCAGGTACAGCCAGACTGCTCTCGCGTCGGGTCCCTCTAGGACGGTCAGCGTGTCCTGGGCCTTAACTAGCTTAACCTCTTGGCTGGAAAGGGCCACTGTCAGAGGCACAGCCCCACAAAACATGCTTGAAGTCCGCATAACTACAACATAAGAGGCAGTGCCGGAGAAAGGAAACTGAATGTCATTAGGCGGTAGCAAGGTGAGCAGAAGGTGTGAGCTCGGGAGCTTAAAGTAGCATTATGTCCTGGAGATTACACTCAGTTGTGGGAGCTTGTAGAAGGATATTGTCGGTTGAAGGACGTCAGCGGACTTGTTTATTAATATAGGTTTTTCAGGATTTTTCAATCAAGAAGTTTTTTGGTTCTTGCTGGAGGGTCAATGCAATTGATACAAAAGATAGAACAAATAAAACAAAAATGTTGTGTGTATACATAATTCAAGCAATAAAGTTTTCTAAATATTTGATAAAGTTATAGAGGACTGGGAGACATCCTGGGGGAGACTCTGCCTGCCATAAGTGGTCCGTGGAAAAAAGAAAGAAGACCGCGTTCTCTGTTCTTGCGAAAACTGGCTCGAGCTGGTGGTTTCTGGCGTAGCGTGTTCGTTCATGAGGGCCATAAGCGTGAAAATGCCTCTTAAGCTGTTCATGACCTCATAAGCGTGAAAATGCACGCGACAGCGACGAGCGCCGCGACGTAGATCGTCTTCGCGCGATCAGTCGCTAGCGCAGGCAAACCTCATTCACGCGACGGCTTCGGCGACCGAACTCCACTGTTGCTGGCATGAGGCCGTCTACTCGCACCAAGAAAACCGCGTAGTGAGCGGTATGCAATTTAAAGATAAGATATATTGTTGTGTAATGAAACGGAAAGTGTTTATGAATGCCTTGCAGCACTTTTTTATATGCACATGCGTAAACATTGCGTTTTCTTGTTGCGCATATGTGACTCGGGCAGGGTCACGTGCACCTATGTAGTCTTTGTCTGTTTCCGGTTTTTCGCTATTGGCTGCTTAAGCCGAGCACTTCCGGGCGATGAGCGATGGTTTTCAAATCTGGAGAACCGAGCGATCGCGCGAAAACGAGCACGCGACAGGTCGCGCGAACGCCCTGTTTCGTCGCTCATAACATCGCTCGTCGCTGTCGCGTGGATTTTCGCGCTTATGAGGTTTGCTCTTAGTTCTTGGGCTTTTTTTTGGTATTGCAGGGTGCACTGTATTTATGCAATGTGAAGTTTCGCTAGAAGACGAGAACGCGATAATACTGAGGTATTCGGGTGCTTTAAACTGCGAATACATGGTATGAAATCAGTTGATATATGATAACGCCGATGTCATTTTTCAGGGTGAGTGTTTAACCTCGACGCAAGATTATCGAAAAGCCAGGACGTTTATTTTCTCGCGTACATTGAAATTCTTATATACAACATTAGAATTTAATTGCAATAAAAACAACGGGAAAGAGAGTGATGTTTTATGATATCATTGCTATTGTGTAAAAAAAAGAGAAACAATGACCCCCCCTCCCACAAACACACATACCACACGCCTGTGCACACAAAACCACCGAAGATTACGATTATGACACTGCTTAATATGAATTTTAAGCGCAGCTTCGTATTATTGCAACGCCGACTGTGGTTGAAGCTGTGGCATTGGGACATAGTCATATAGTAGCAATGTGATATTGGTAACATATTGCCACCTGCCAGCGTTCGAGTGCTGCGCACACCAATCTATGCAACTGCAGGCGTCGCGAATCAAGCGAAACGCCAACAGCTTCATTACGACCAAAGAGTGTTATTTTTTTTTAAATCCTCCTTGATTACGACAAGCGAAGCGAGCCGCAGTGCCCGTGCCAGCCCTGAATGCGCACGAGCTCCGACTAAGGGACCAGTGCACGTGACGCAGGAAGATAGAGAGGTTATAGTGGCTCGTACACATTCGCACAAAATACGCGCACACTCTGGTTCGTCCTCGTCGGCTCTGTTGAGTATGCCGACGCCAGCAAACACAGTGACAACGCTGAACGCGAGACCTTTGCCTAAAAGCTGCGTTCTATTAAAAAAAGAAGTGAACAGCTTCTTCACTTCACCCAACAGTCCACATAACCAGACTATTCTATCCTCCAATGCTGCTTAGCATTCTGATATCCAACACATATTTTCTTCTTCAGAAGCTTCTTGTCTTTTAAAGCGACGTATTCTGCGAGTTTCGCTTCTACAAGTGGTTGCTCCTGCTCAAACTTCATGACAGTGAAGCAGATTTTCAATAGTTATTTACTTTTAGGTTACCGCGTGGTATCGATTCATGTTTTTTTTTATGTTCCGGGAATAGAAATTTGCAAAAGCGAGCTGCACAAACTCATATATTTTTACGTGTTATTTGCTGCGCAAGTACAATAGTACGTGAATGATTTCCCCGAAAACGTCACATCAGGGGCATTTACAATTTATTTCTTGTAATGTGCAACAAGTGCATTGCCCCAGGTTTACTGCTTTATGCGCAATGAACGAGTGCAGTACGTTTCAAGTTTAAATCAGATTGTTCAATGCAACGTTGTTCAACGCAATCTAAATCTTGAACAACGTTAGAGGTTATTCCAAGCATCATCACTTTTTGCTGCTGCGAAGATGTAAGACACTAGTCGATGTAATGTGACCACGACTATATATCTGCGCTAAAGGAGCTTTACTTCGTCTAACCAAATATTTGGTTTTATTGTAGGAGCCATGAGTACGTCCGTGTGTGATTCCATATAATAATTTCATTAGAAAACAGTCGGGTTGTCGTCTAACGATAATTCTGCGTGTGTATCTCGAGCTTTGTTCAATAAAATGTTATGACATCATCCTGCGTTTTCACAACGAGTTTTACGATTCAGTTGTTTCAATAACAATTATAACGAAGCCAGTGTGGGACAACTTGAGCTGATGATGCATCAACTGATAAATTTAATTTGCGCTGCCTTAACAAGAGTACAGAGCATCTCCATAGGATAAATTATTTGCCAACACATGGGGTCTATATTTCTCACGTTGCTGTCTTTGCCGTGTTTTATTTGTTTCCCATAATACACTACGGCCAACGCTGCACACCAATACCCTCTTAGTCTAGCTCCTCCTTGTTAAGAAAGGCCTAGAAATTCATTACCTATGAGGCAGCACATACTTTTCTTGGAGCTTCCAGCATGGTCACTTTCCGGCATCTGAAACGAGGTCGTGTCTGTCCTTAATCCGATTCTAAAGCAGCCCGCACACTAAGTAAACTAGTAATGCTGCCTTTCCGCCGTAAACAATGATGTGGCATGGAGGCAACGCCGCCGGGGTCTTGAATATGCATTCCGACGAACAGAGCTCTTCGTTAATAGCTTCGTACCGTAAGATAAAAGCAAACAAAGAGGGAAGTGTATTTACTTAGCTAGAATCCTTGCACTTACATTTCAGGAAGCCATGTTTACGTTAGTGCACTAACCAAACATATTGCTCCCACACAGACACTCCTGAGGCATCACGTTGACATTGTTGTTATTTTTTCATGTGTCCCCGAGCAACCTTCCAAGTGGTAGCCTGGAGTACTCAGCGCAACAAGTTTGGCAAAAAAAAAATGACTTCGAGGAACCAACTTTCTGCAGATATATTTTCGCAAACGATGGACCTTATTCTGGGGCACTTCGGTCGTGTTTTCCTACTTTCAAAGAAGTCTCAACTCAGCGTTTGCGTGCGCAATCGTTTTGATTAAGTTTACCAAAAAATATGAGTACACAAGGAACTCCTCCAGGAAGTAAATGCGAAAGCTTATCTGAAGAATGTCGGTAAATATTTATTAAGAACTGTGACCCTCTGTGTCTGCGCTTTTTCTAGTTTCTTGTTTTTACGCGACATGGCACCGCACGAAGCAAAGTTTGGCCATTCTGCGCTTCATTCCAGCGTGGAGTTGGCAACATTTATCTTGGAGCGATTAATTAGTATGTGGGGTTTAACTTTTCTGAAGGCGACCATCTCGTTTATGTAACACTATAATAAAATATGAATAGTTATTTTTCTGAAGACAGTGGCACTCGGTAGTATAAGATAGCTACTGAATAGCTACAGAGGTAGTTTAAAAAGCCTTTCGTTCAGCAATGAATTGCACTAGTTAAAATGGGGTAGAAATTACAACGCCCTTTTTGTTTTGCTGGATGCTCCGTATACCACGATGCTAGAGTGCCAAACTATTTTGACGCGGCAAGCCGAAATCCTGCGAGTATAAATTCGGCGTGCAACATTACACGCCAGATATAGAGATAATCTGTTGAACAGCGTGCCGTGTGCTTGTAACAATCATAAAGTAACATGGTGGAGGTGATAAACGTTATTACGGCCTTTGTAAAAGCCGCTTGAGAGAAGGACTTGCAGTTGATTGCAGGACCCCTATCTGAAGCGTAATAAGGTTTTCGAAGTGCTTCAGTTTAAATGGGACTAATTTAATTTATAACTATGGCAATACTAACGTTGGAAGCTGAAAGTGGAACATGTAGTGTTTCAGAAGTATGAGCTTATGCACATTCAGAGCCGAGTAGTCCAAAAGCTTGAAGCTTGAAACATTGTGCGCACTCTCTCAAAGACTACGTTGAATTGTTTCCAGAAACATTGAGTTTTGCAGAAACCACTTGAACAAACTACGGAGTGTTTTGCGCGCAGGTACTATGCTTGGTGTTCGCGTTTTTTATGCCCCGCCTGCCAAGGAGCTAGCGGTCGGAGCTCTACGTGCTGAAGGGTTACTGAACGGTCGCAAACATTTTCGCACTGGGAGAAGTTTCTAAGATAAACAAAAGGTATTCGTCGTTTTTCAGCAAATACGACGCACCGAA